CCATTTCCGCATCAGCTTGCAAAACTTGAGGAAAGCCCTCTTTTCCATAGCTCCGAATGGCCGTAATTTCATCATTAGTTTTTCATTAGGAAGGTGATAGTTTAAGGTATATGAAGGCAGTAACTTCTTCAAGGAGAGTTGCATACAGGAGAATGTTTTTCTCTTACTGTTGAATCCAACAGAAATGCCTTTGTTGTTCCTCACTGATGCTTATTCCTGCTGCAGTAGCCACATCATTGATTCGTTTAAGCAATATGCCGTCGTCAGCATAGTCAAGCTCACTGATATACTGCCAAGAACTAATGTCGACGCTAGCTAACTCCATCAGTACTGTTCGCTTGATCCAATCAATGACGAAGAAGATTGGAAGATTACGGACCTGATTTACGCCAGAAACAATGCTAAAAAAGTCCTCAGCATAAGCCCAAGCTTTAGCTTGCGTCTGGCAATAATATACCTTAATTAGGATCACCCGCTTTTGGAGGACGTCGTTCATTCGTAGAATTATAATACTGATAATGCAAAATTACTACATGTGTAGGAAACAAGATTTATTAAATGGGACTACATTGTGTATTTTAAAAAGGTAATAAAGTTTGATTCTATTAGCTGACCAATTGTGGCAGCTCCCTTTTTTTTAACTTTAATTTTTTATTAATCGTCCTACCAATGATTTGCTGAATTTTACTGCAGGGAGTGAAGTTAATCCCAAAACATCCGTGATATACTAAGCTGAGAAAGAACAACTGACTGTTGCTAATAATGGTAACTCACACACTGAATGTCCTGCTAACAGCTTGCCTAATGATACTAATATCTCAGAAAAATAAGTTTTCCTTCATTATTATTCCTAAGGGCACCATTATTTCACTAAATGAACAAATAAAGTACTTAAATGAACACGGTACTTAGCAATAGAAAAACACTAGCAAAAGTACTTGTTCTAGCTTAGCAGAAAATGATGATCGTATTACTCAAACGACCTCAGTTCATTTTACAGCTTAACTGTATGACCCACGCTACGATTAAACTGGAACTAAAAACGCCACGCTTATTTGGTGATTTCTGGTATCGAATACGATAAGACGTTTCTGTACAAGAAACCAGGGATATTGCAGATCTTTTCTAGAGGATTACCCTCTTTGGTGAGGGACGGAGTACTGAACTAGGCAATACGTGAGTTTCGCAAATTCAGGCTGAAGAATGGAAAATGACAGAGAGGATCACTGTCTGTTTCAAAGGCAGTTTGCACTTGCTCTTAATACTGGAGCTCCATTGCACTATATGCGTTGACGTGGAGAAAGAAGGCTACTACGTACCTCTTCACTGTCGTCATGCACTTGTTCATACTCCAAGGATGACTTGAGCATCATTATGTGTCTCGAAACTGGCCTGAAAGTTAATTAAAATCATATTATCCTACCTTTAAGACTGTGGATCTTGTTGTTGGTCAGCCTTAGCTTCTTGACGTTGCCCAATTTTTTATTCCAATGCTCGATCTTTTCAATTCTGTTGTTCGACAGGTTCAGCTCGGTCAAGTAAGGTAAGTGCTGTAGATTGTCGATATCCCTGAGACAGTTGCAGGTCAGATCCAAAACTCTGATGTACCGAAAGCATTTCTAGAAGTAGTACGCATAGCTAGCAGAAATGAAGAAGTGTAAACTATAATATTTGCAGTATTATCCAGCGAGTTATTTGATGCACAACGAAAACAATTAGGTAAATCAGATGATTGACCAGTAACGGCGTTTTGGTCCAATTTTCACGCGCTTTCTTCGAGGCTGAGAGGTGGGTTGATTTCGAAATTTATGTCAGTCATTTGCAGATACTCTAACTTTGGAGTCAGAAGACGTTCTGCAGTGTCTGCACTGGTTAATCATCTGACTGACTATATCGTTTGCTGACTAATACTAATTATATTATGTTTATCAACAAACTAGTTTATGCTGTTTTCAGTATGATCACCAGGCTACAAAGAACTAAGTCTAGAAGTCTCTTTAATTTAGTTTCGAATAGGGTGTTATCCGATGCAAGCAACAGATTATGCACTCTTGTACCAATACCAGAATACGCCTTTATGGAACGTAGCCTCCTTAAGTAGATGCATAGAGATCTAAACCGTAGAGTTCAATAAATAACATTATGTAAACCTGAATAAATATAAGTATTATCTTAAACAAATATATAACAACAAACAGCACAAATTCACAGTTGTAAGAAAATCATGCAGTACGGCTAAAATATACCATTTTTAAAACCAGGCTTTTAACAGTATTCAGATTATTGAAGTGATCAGTATAACAAAGAAAATAGCTTGCTATAAACTGTGTACGGATGAGTTGCTTGGAAATCAGTCTTGGCATACAGATAATATAACTAATATTTTAAGCTTTTTATAGCACAAAAACTACAGACCGGTCAAGCGAAAGAACTGAGCATATTGATCGACTAGTTCAGTCAAGTCATGGAAGATTGGGATGGAAAATCAACGTTAAGGGCTAGAAAACTTTAAGGTACAATCAGTTTGCATATTAAGTGTTTCTTAGAGGTATGAGTTACAACGAGAGAAGACGACAATACTTTACTCACCACAGACGGGTCAATCATATGCAGGTTGTTGAAAGAAAAATCAATGGATTGCAGATTCTTCCACGTCAGATCTTCCTGAGCGTCTGGCTGAACAGAAAAATAAGGGACAAGTTCCTAGAATAGAGATATATAACTTTCAGTATTAATAATCATGAAATAAGCGTTCATTTAATTTTAAACCAATCGTTGTCCAGCACTTTAAGGTATATCACGGTAGAGCGGACGCTTAGAAGAGCTTACGTGGTTTCTACCGAAAAACCGAAAACTTGCAAAAATGTCTAGAAATATGTTACATTGCTTGTTAAACCCTTCCCATTCCTTTGATGACATCAACTAAATCACTCTATGTTCAAAATCAGACTTTCTGCTGTCCCAGTGTTATTTCGCCATAGTTTGTTAACGTTTGCCCCTGCCTGCTCCCTTTGTAATCACAGACGATACTCATATAGGCAAAGACGTAAAAGTTGTGTCTAACCGCAAAATCGCTCAAGACATCTAACCACATATCTTGTTTATGCTCAGACTGAGATTTGCAAGAAAATCCACCTCCTTCTTCATCAAGAGAGGTTCATCCTATAGAAAACTTGGTTCTGAACGTAGACGTAGCACAGCATGAACGCATTAAAAACAAAAGCCGGTCAAACTGATTCTTTCCATTGGTTACGGAAATGAAGTCGATTCTTTTATTCACGTAGTTTATTTGAACACATAAACACATGTTCTTCAAATCTGGTTTTAAATGAGTGCCATACCACTGAATCACAGCCATCTTAAGTAGTCTTCCATGCCTCTACTAATAAGGAGTAAATACAAGCAAGTACGTTCTAATCTGCGTGATGTAAATCCAGGCAAACTTCAGGCAATGGATCATCATTCTTACCGGCGTTCGCAATTTCGCTTACTATCAAACCCAAAGTACCAGAGTAAATCTTTATATACACAGTAGTATGAAGAATAAAAAATGGCATACCGAAATGTTGTGAAGGGTGTTGTGAACGGTGAGGTGCACAATGGTGTCTTTGCAGGCATCTAAATCCTGAATTGCGGAAGGATCACAGTTTGCAATCTAAGCAGACAGCAAATCAGATTCTGTTGTAAGGTGAAATTCAAAATTAATCAGCATAAAATCTGAATCATAGCGTATGTGCATGAAAGTAACATATGAAGTACACGTATAACACATGTACAACAAAATAACTTGAAGGGATGCGGCAAAATGTAAACAATGAGCGAATCAGTGCCGAGTTTATGCGCATCGCGGAACAGCACAGGCGACATTAATCTTTTTGACAACATCAGAGGTAATGGAATGACCCTGAATCCGGAGCTGCAGATGTAAGAAAGAATTCTGCCACAAAAATGAATCACCTTACTCAAATCCAGCCTGAGTGTACCGTTTAAAGATGGCACCCAACGACGTCAGAAATAAATCGTATCACCGGACGAAACAAGGCAAAATTTACGGTAGCCGCTACGGTCTGCAACGAACCCAGAAACAATCGGCTAACGAAACTTCAGTGTCTGTGATTCCCATAGCTGCTTATGTCTCCTTTGGCAGTTCTGTCTCAGGAAGGAAACAATGATTACAGTCAGACGGCGATTTGGAGCCATTGTCTGTACTAACTCTTGAAGGACGTATGATGAAATATTTTTGTCATGTTGTCTGCCCTTCGATGAAAGAATGAATGATGACTAATTGACAAGACGGATGAAGATCGATAAGATAAATGTGATATGAAAAAATTTAAAAAAATAGCTTCATTCTGCACCTTAATAATCATGATATAAAAGGTCCCAGAGTAATAACGTAATCCTGATTGGTACTTTCCTTTTTTAATCCCTTGTAACGAAAGATGGCATTCGCCATTTGTCACTGTCACTAAAGGAATGAAGAAACAAAAACAGCTTCCAATGCATAAAACCATTATATTCTTCCGGACAGAGCAGAAATAACATGAGCCTTCGCACCTGTTGTTTCATTTTTTTAATGTCCATGATCAGTTAACCAAAAAGCATAATAAATTCTTCGTATAACATTAAATTATTAAACTTTCATAAAATTTAAGTTAAATAACGTAATTAAATCTTAAACTTGCGCTTAATTGAAATAAACTGTGTTTCTGTATGCAACTTTAAAAAAGAAAAGGAAAGTTTACCCAAAGCCAAACCAAGGACCTGAAGTACCGCAAACTAAAGTTCAACGAGTTCAGTGGAATGTTACTCTTGCCAGCGCATTTTCCGCCCGTCACCTGCAAATTACCGATAGATCGAGTCTTCAAACAAACGGCAGCAATAGCCATAATGGCTATTTTACTTACTTTCAGCCTCTTAAGGCATGACAGAAATTCGATAACGTTTCCGATGTCCAGCATCAGGTCTGACGACGGCTCTAAAATGAGACAGGACAAACAGAGAGTACAAAACAGTATATAGATTCAAACCATGTGTTGGTTCAGGAAGTCGCATTCGCTCAGTCAGGGCGTACAGCTGCAGTGTTGACAGTACAAAAGGCTCGACACCTTCATCAGTAAAATGCTCTACTTCGTTGCTGATGGTGAGAGCCAAATCGTGGACGATGCCATGCACCTCCTTAACAGAAACACTGACAGATGATTCAATAGACAAATCAAACATTTATCAAGGTATTTTTTCAAAAAATATAAAATGAACACCTTAGCAATATGAATTAAATCACACGAAAATTTCAGGACCCGTTGCCAATTTCCATATATAAACTTGTTTTTTTTTGTGAATTGACAGAAGCCTTTCTAAGTCAGTTGTAACTGCTTTACTCCATGAATACCGAGGCTGTTCAGTTCTCTCAGAACGAGGGAGTGAATGTGACTGTTCTCTGACGAGGCGGATTACAGCACTCCAGAATTTCTAATGAAAAAATGACCATGCAACCCAACATGGAAAAAGCATGTTGTTAATGGCATTAAAACACAGGAAGACGAATGAATGAAATA